GCCAATGAGAGGTAATCTGAGGCAGAAGGCGGTCTCGGAGATAGCCAGGTCCCACCTTATCTTCAGAAGTTTAAAATAGCCTAGATTATTATCTTCTTCCCATTGTTCTCTCTTCTCAACAAGCCTGTGAGATGGGTCATGCTGGGAGGGAGCATCTGATCCAAGTTAACCAATGAGCTTCTTGGCTGAGTGGAGAAATCTGAACCTGGGTCTCACTAGAGTAGGCCAATATTCTCAGTTTGTATCTCTACTAACAGTACAAACTATGAGGATATTCTTCTCCTCTGTTCCTCCTTCCTTTTTATGTCTTACTGTCTTCCTCTTTCAATTTCATATATATTACTAAGTCACCTTGTCAGAAAATATCCAGAGTCACTGGGAGTTGGGAAGCATATAAAGTTAATAAACCATTGTTAACATCGAGGAAGGAGCCAGTGTCTATGCCAGGGGTGTCAAACTCGCAATGTCAGGTGACGTGTCACGACGTATCGTCGGTTTTTTTCCATTGCCGGCAATGGGGTGGGCGCGATTTCGGCATGACGCCTGGTCTATACAAAACCATCCCAGTTTAAGGTGGGTTATTTTAGGTCCCTGCAAACCTATTTAGATGTGGGATGGACCATTTTCAAATTTATAATACACCCGAGTTTTATCTTGCATAAGGTCAACTGATAAACATCTGTTATAGAATACAGGCAGCTACACTGTATTGCAAATTTTACTGCTTGCTGTTATATATTTAAAAGAGAAGAGAAAGTTAGAGATACTGAAAAGCTGTGCCCATCTTTATAATACATGAAATAAATAAAACAACTCAATATTAAAAAATTGCTATTAATGTTATTATTTCACTCATATATCATACATTACATTATGTTATGTGACAAATACAAAGTTAGAAATGAAATACTATTTTACTGCTCTTGGAGTGCAGTACCCATAGTATCACTTATCTACTGTGGTCACTAAGTCAACAAGGACTGCACACAATAAAAGGTTTTCAGCTAAGCTTGTATACAATCATTAAAAATAGCCACTTTTCCCTATCCTATATAGTAATAATTTTAACCTTTAATACAATGATCCATATTTTAGGGTCATAGAGAGTTCTAGTAGTTGTACAGCTAATCCTCGCTTTACAACCACAATTGAGCCCAAAATTTCTGTTGCCAAGTGAGAAATTTGTTAAGTGAGTTCTACGATCTTTCTTGCCACAGTTGTTAAGTGAATCATTGCAGTTGTTAAGTTAAGTGAATCTGGCTTCCCCATTGACTTTGCTTGTCAGAAGGTCGCAAAAGGGGATTACATTTATTGATTTTTATTTAGAAAAATAATTTGCTGCCCACCTCATACCCAATGACTCTGGGCAGCTGACATGACCCCAGACACTGCAACCATTATAAATATGAGTCAGTTGCCAAGAGTCTGAATTTTGATATGTGACCGTGCAGATGCCGCAACGGTTGTAAGTGTGAAAAATGGTCTTAAGTCAGTTTTTTCAGTGCCGTTGTTGTAACTTCAAACAGTCACTAAAAGAATGGTTATAAGTTGAGAACTACCTGTATGGTATTAAGTTGGGAAAGGCTGGAGCAGCAGGACCATATTAACATAAAGTGGTGGCTTTTATCACCACCCTAATTTGGGGGGACTGGTGTGCTTTCTCCCAGAGGCATCCTCAGGGGAGCCTTCACTTTTGCAGTTGTGAGCACCATCTTGAATTTTTGATGTCCCTTTTCGATCTTTTCCCGCTACTGTTTTCCATGGCTGTGTAAGGAAAATAGCTTCTTTAATTTTCCCCCACATCACCCACCCAAATACTCAAAAAGAGACCATACTAATCAACTAAGTCATCAGATTCTTCCACACTGCCTTGAAGTTTTAGCATTAGGAAGTCAAGTGATATGTGTTTAAAATATATGAATCAGGCCTTTGAGGGTGAATTCATTTGCAGCTGTTGTTTAAGCCTCCATATTATCCCTTGGCAAATATTATTTTCAGTACGTGGTATGTATTTAATATGAATGCTTCAGTGAAGAAATCAGAGATAGTAATTTTCATAACCTGCTAAAAACAATGTATAGTATAGAATTGCATGAAGCAAGATTGGTCAACAATCGAGTAAGGAATATATTATCACTCCTTACTGAAATGTTTGAGGACTTTTTTTTTTCAAACCTCTTTGAAGCTCTGGCTCTTTCATTCAAGAATGGAAGCTTGTCTCTATTAGCTGTTTCTCTAAACATAGAGACTGAATGTTCCCCCAGGGTGACAAGTTTATGACTAATGTCTTTCACTAGATAATTCTCCAGTCAATCTAAGTATACACTCCTTGGCCTGAAGGTACCTACCATAAATTAACCTACCTCTCTTTCTCCTCATGTTTTATCTCTTTACAACATAGGTAATTGTAAGGGTTTGCATAGTATATAGCAGGGGTGGGTAACTATATGATCTGTGGACTTCAGCTCCCAGAATTCCTGGGATGCTGGCTCAGGAATTCTGGGAGTTAAAGTCCACAGATCATAACAAAACCATAGTTTCCCTCCCCTGGCATATATGCTGTTCCCCTGGCTTTATCAGCCTCCCAGGATTACTATGAAATATTACAATTCATGTTTCCTTCCTTGTTCAGGCCAGAGATGGATAAAAAGATAGTCAAAATGTCTGTCATGCCCTATAGACTTAGATGACAAAACTCTGTCATTGCCTCTGACTGGAAAAAGGCAGGTTCCCTAATTCCATTTCATTGTGAAGTTGAGATAAATTTGTTTTGCAACTCTAGGTTTAGGGTTATTTTATGTGACTGTATGCCATTTGCATGTGTGTATGATATAGTCACTGGCCAAAATAAAGCAATATTGATTGCTTGATATAATCCCAAATTGTAGGAAGAATGCTCTTCTCTTTGCAATATTACAAAGAAAGTGAATCTCTGCATTTAGTATTTTGCAAACTGGACTTGGATTGTTATGGTTCTTCGCTGAAGTTTCCTTCTTGGTTCTTATGTAATTTGAATGTCAGATTAGTCTTATCCTAGTTTAAATACCCAATCACGGGACAATTTTCACTTAGCTTCAGTGTATGCTAAATCATAATATCCTTCATTCAGATTCAGGAGCTTGTATGAACTCTTCTAATGGGTGGTTTATTTAATAAAGTAGGGTTAAAGACCACATGACCTAGGACAACGTGTGATCCAAATTATCTCTTAAGTTAACTTACATTGTAGTGTTTGTTCTAAAGATAGAACAAAGTGGAAAAGGAAGGACTCGTGATTATGATCAGAGGAACATTGAGCTATTAAACATTTTTTAAAAAATTAAAAGCTGAGATTTCAGTAACTAGTTTTTAGACAGTAATTGACCCCAATATTAGGATTTGAATGATTTGTTATAGTTAATCCAAAGCCATGTATATCGCAGTGAATGGATTTAATGTGTGATTCTGAATTCACTGTAAACTTACATATTATGATTTGTTAAAGGTTCTTCCTTTGTCAGCAATCAAGTACTAAATGGGAAAGTCTTTTTTTACAGTTGCATTAGTAGAAGTCTATCTTCTTTCTTTGCTGACAGTATTCCACTTCCTCAAAGATTTCAGCCAGCATTTGGTTCGCAAAAGCATTTTTTTTTAAAAAAGCATGATACTGAGTTTTTATTAACTCTCCTGAGCTTTTCAGTAGTCTGCCCTTTACTTACCTTTTATTTAATACAATGCTTTTGCACTGCGCATTTCTTAGTGCAACAGTAAGTAGAAGTGCTTTAAATAAAAGGATTGTC